AAATGGAGGTTGGTATTAAGAGGAGAGGAGGAGTGTTGATGGTGTTAGGTGATGTGGAGGTGTTGGGAGGTAGTGTGTGAGGAAAGTGTTGTTCATTGAACGTAACATGCCTAGAGATGTAGAGTTTTTGTCGATGAGGGTCATAGCACCGGTAACCCTTGTGTGAGCTGGAATATCCTAAGAAGATACAATGAGTAGAGCGTGGTTCCAGCTTGTTGGATGTTTGAGGTTTTAACCAAGGAAAACAAGAACAGCCGAATACCCGGAGATGATTGTAGGAAGGAGGAGTGCCGTGCAGTAGTTGGAACGAAATTTGGTGATTTAGAGATGCTGCGGGTAGACAGTTTATTAGATAATTTGAGGTTTGAACCGCCTCTGCCCAGTAGGTAGCGGGTAGAGTGGATGCGTGAAGAAGCGTTCTTGTTGTTTCAAGCAGATGCCGGTGTTTCCTTTCGGAGACACCATTTTGCTCGGGCGTGTAGGGACAACTGAATTCGTGTTGGATGCCATGACTGAGTAGAAAGGTTTTGAGGTCATGACCGGTGTATTCACCGCCTCCGTCAGATCGTAGAGTTTTAATGGAGGTATTGAATTGAGTTTGAATTAGTTGATGGAATTATTGAGACCAGTTAGTGGATTCGTTTTTCGTATGCATCAGATAAAGCCAGCAAAACCTTGTACAATCATCAATGAAAATTATATAGTATTTATATCCAGAGAGAGAGGGAACGGGAGAGGGACCCCAAACGTCTGTGTGTATTGAAGTAAAAGGGGTAGTTACATGAGCTGCCTGCTTAGGGAAGGTCAGTTTGTGGCATTTAGCCAGCTTACAGGATAAGCAATTAAAATGTAAAAACTTAGTGCTAATATTTGGTAGAAGCGTAGATAAATTGGTCATCGAGCGAAGATGAGGATGACCCAATTATGCGTGCCATAGAGCGGTGGAAGTCTGCGTGGTGGAGAGGGCGCGAACTGGAGAAGGATGAGGAGGAAGACTGATGGGATAAATACCATCTTGATTACGACCATGGAGCAGAGTGGTGTTGTCCTGGAGATCCTTAAGAGTGAACCCAGTAGAATCAAAGAGAATGGAGCGGTTATTATCCTTGGTTAGTTTTGAGATAGAGAGTAAGTTATGAGCTAGAGAGGGAACGTGAAGCAGATTTGTGAGTTTAAGCTTACGGGAGGACTTGGGTAGAGGAAGTATGCCGGCACTAGTGTGATGAATTGGGAGAGATGAGCCACTTGCTATAGAGATAGAGTCTTGTCCGTGATATGGGGTTGAGACCTGCAGATTGGCAATGTCTGGTGTCAGATGCGTCGAGGTGCTTGAGTCCAATAACCAGTCGGTAGAGACTGTTGAGGGCGTTTGAGTGAAAAGAGCCCGGTTGGTGGAGGGAGGTGGAGTGTAGCTGGAGTTGTATCTGTGCAAGCAGGCTGACACTACGTGGCCAGTTTTTCCACAGATCTGGCAGACGAGTCGTTCTGTACTCCTGGGTGTAATGGATGTGTTCTTGGTAGAAGTATTGTTCGGACTGAAGGTAGTTCCTCTGCCGCGGTTCCCTCTGTAACTGGTGTTGCGTCCTCGTCCTCTTGAGGCATATAATGCCTAAGGCTCCGGCGAGGAGGCTGGATCTTGCTGAAGTTCAGTTTGTAGATTGATTTCTTCACTGCAAAGCAGTGAGTAGAGAGATTCAAGGGTAATGGGCAGACGAGAAGTCCGAATAGCAGCTTTGAATGGGTTGTATGATGTTGGCAGACCTTTGAGTGTATACAGGATTATATCCTCTGTCTCAATGTGGCTTCCGACAGCTACTATGTTGTCGACTAGTGCTTTGACTTTGGATAGGTATTGAGAGATGGATTGATCTCTCATTTGGACATTATGAAGTTCGTTCTTCAGCTGGATGACCCTCGATCTGCCGGTGGGTTGAAGCCTCAGCTCCAGTGCTGTCCAGATCTCGTGCGACGTTTGAAGATGCATAATATAGGGGAGTACTGAGGGAGAGATTGTGGAGAAAAGAGCTGAAGTAAGGTTCCTGTCTACTAGTTTCCAGAGTTTGTGATCTGCATTGCCAGAGTAAGTGGATTCCGATGGACAGGGTAACGCATCGGTGAGGTATTCTTCAAAGCCATTTGCGGCGAAAGCCTGGTAGATATGTAATCTCCAGATGGGATAGTTGTCGATGGTAAGCTGTGTGTGTATGAGCAGCTTGAGATTTGACATCAAAAATTTCAGAGGTGGGGGAATGACGATGGCTGCCACGAGGAAGACAGTGTGGACGTCGTCCGTGACTATGTGGTGGAGTCTTGTTCCGCCATTGGAGCTTGAGAGACCGAGAGATCCCAGTCTCACTGCTATGATACCATGACGAAGTACCTGAAAAGGTTAGTGAAGGAAATAAACTCTGAGGAGAAGAGGAAATACTGTAATAGCTTTCATTGATGGATAATGCTACAGTTCACAGTAAGGAGTTTTTATAATGTAGCAGGGGACAGGTCATTGGAATATCATAGAGCCGTTGGAGGCCAGAGAAGACGCAGGATGACAGTGATCGTGCAGCTTGTTCCAAACGGTTTGCTGTACCGCAGAAGTGGTATGGAGTACATTAACAAAATTCTTATGTAATCCAATCAAACAATCCCTTAGTCATATTTTATCAATAAATAGGCTTCCAAAGCATTTTCCAGTAAATCTTAAAATTAATATATTTAATTAAAATTTAACAAGCTTGGAAAATAACGATATGCTCATATGAACTTCGTGATCCTTCACAAATAACCAAGCATGACGTTAACACAGTACCGTGAGTGCAAGACGCACACGTGTGACGTTGTGCCATTCTGTAGGCTAACACGTGCATGCATGGCTTAGCAATTAGCATAAAAAAACATTAATAATGCTGGGGTTAATATATATATATCTTATCTGTATTTACATTTATTTTTATATATAATATATTTTAATAAATATATTTAGAATATTATTATACAAATAAATATTATAATTTAAAATTAATAATAGTTTTATAAAAATAGCAAATTTTGTATTATTCAGCTACAGTATTGACTTTAAACTTAAATTTTGTTAAAGTCAATATCAAAATATTTAATTTTAAATTTAAATATTAATTGGATTAAGATGAATTTAAAAATTGGTAAATTAATTTTAAGATTAATGCAACGTCCTTATAAATTTTCTCAAAGCTTGATTATTCATTATCACTCTAATTTTAAAATTTTAGTGAAAAATTTATCTTAAATAGCATTGTTGTGTCTTGGGGTATTCGTGGCGGTAGAGAAATATAAACTTTATCGTCTTAGTGTTGTACGAAGATCCAGCACGCACATAGAGAGGGTGCAATATTTATGAGAGACCAAGATTTTTACGTGGAAAACCCCTAAAAATTTAGGAAAAACCACGGGGCCTAGCCCAGCTTGAATGAATCCACTGGTATTGTAGTTGATTACAAATAAGGCCCTTCCTTAGGGGAAGGCCTTATCTTGATGTACATCTTATAGAGAACATTAAATGATGAGAATACAAAGAATCATTGTTGATGTGTTTGTTTGATCTGAAGGATTGTAGTCAGTAGGCGACGTATATCAGAAGGACAGTAGTCGAATGGAGACGGAGGTCCGAAGGACTGTAGTCGGTGGGCAATGTAAGTTAGAAGGACCGTAGTCGACGGGCGACGGAGGTTGGAGGGATTGTTGTCTAATGACGGAGGTCGGAAGGACGGCGTCAGGTAGAAGTTCATCAATGGATAGAAATTCAACATTGGATATATGTCCGACGAAACTCCGACAACGGGCAGAAGTCTAGCGTCGGGTAGAAACCTGGCAACGAGTGAAGGTGCAGTGTCGGGTAGAAGTCTTACGTTAGTTGGCGGCCGAGGAGAACTCAGGATTTGGATGGTATTCGGGCAGAACTCCGGCATCACTTGGAGGTCGGGCGGAATTCCGACATCACTTGGGCAGAATTCCAGCGTCTCGTGAAAGTCTAGTAGAATTCTAGCGTCACTTGGGCAGAATTCCGGCGGCGGTGGTCGAGGAGGAGTTTCTTCCCTCCTATCATTCTTCTCTTCTCTTCTCCTCCTTCTCTTCTTCTTTTGGCT